AAATTCAGATCGAAGAAAATCACCAGAAAATACCAATAAATAAAATGTTTATTAGCAGCTCTGTCTAGAAATAGCTGTGGACACGCTGCGAAGATTATCTCTTTTAGAATTTCGCTATATTATATTCACTGATAGGACTCTCTATGGATCCACAAAACATTGGGTGGTGAAACACCAATAAGATCCCAATTTGGGATACATTTTATACTTCCAACTGGCAGGAATTCACAATTAAACCCAAAATAGCCGATCCGGAAACATTCTCCAAGTCAGCTTTGCTTCCAGTGTGGTCGAAAATGGAAAACTCCCTTTAAATTCTGACAATTCTCACTGGATAACATTTAATAATTCTATGTGGTGTATATTTTTCTAATTTGGCTATTTGTCCTAGATTATGAAATGCACTTTGAATCTCAATTCTCAATTTAAAGTATTTATATAGCGCCAACATATTCTGCAGTGCTGTACAGTAGGTAAACATTTATCAGACCGAGTTTGACATGCCGGAGCAGATGGTGCAAAGGCACTGTCCAAACAAGTTTACAATAACCCTGCAAAGTGTCCGTTAACATTAAAAACAGCCGCACCGAAACATAGCTTGTCTCGAGAATTTTTACCATTTTACTTTTTTTAGACAAATTTCAAATTAACTTTAAATAGATTTAAAACTGCCACTTTATTAAATTGAAATCCACATTTCAAAATGTGGTTTGTTACATGAACGTGGGCTTTCCATGTGATGGTGGACAATATAGACAATTTACCCTGTAGGTCTTCACCTACAAAGAGTCATTTAAAGCAGATTAAAGAGACCTTTAATGAAATGATTGAGTGTTGTCTCTTCCAGCCAGTCACTCACTATACATAGGCACAGAGCGAGATTAATCCAAGATTATACACACAGTGTGATTCGATCGAGATTACATACATTTTTTTTTTTCTCCCCACTTCCCACCCAGGCTCTCCCTTAAATATATAGCATGCTCCTCCAGCTGTTGGAGATTCTCAC